TATACACACATATGCGTAAATGCACTTTAAGAATACTGATTTGCTACATACAACAAATATACATATACATATACATATCCAAACATACCCATGTAAATTTATGATGATTAACGAGGTGATCGTTCTTAGAAATAGGTTTAAGCCAAACTGATCCCCACGAAAGATCGTGCATAAAACAAAATATGAAATGGACGGAGATTAAGGTTAACTGAGGATAAATTTAAAATATAATTTTCGATTTTTTGTTCAAAGAGGTTTATTTATAGATTTGTATATATGTTTAGTAAATTTTTACGGGTGTATCTACAGTTGTTTGTGTTTATGAAAATAAAAATCTAAATTAATGAACAAATTAGAAATGTAGGAGATGCGCATTTGAAAGATAAACAGACAGCATTCGATAAATATATATATATATATATATATTGAAATGTTGTGTAAAATTTCAAATGTATAAAATTCCCATTTTAAATGTTTTTGGTAACATTTTTCATAGTTGCACTGACTTCCTGCCAGAGCATATTGGCACTCTCTCATTTGTGAACACGCCTGTTTGCCAACTATGGCGCTGAACCTGTACGCACAGGCGGATGAGGTAGCACTAAGGCATCCATACGTTCCAATCGATTCTTCTTTGATTCCACCACAATTTGCGAAGGTGCCGCCGCAGTGACTGCAATTGTCAGAAAATTAGTTGAAGGCTGCAGCGCCGGCGTCCGCGGACCGAACAGCTTCTCTCGAAAACTGGGACGATGACTGCCAAGCCGCTGTTGCTTTGCGACTTTCTCATTCGCTTTGCGTTGTTCATCTTCCATTTTCTTCTTCTTCTTTAGCAATTTTGCCTTTTTCGCCAACTCAATTTTGTTTCGTTCCATAACTTCTTCCAAATGTTGTTCCTACATGAAACGGAAGAAATGCTAGAGTTCTGTTGATTATATTACCAGTGTATTGGGACATACAAATAACACTTGACGCTGTTTATCACGCTTCGCCAGCAATGCTACCCATCCACCATAAGCAATCATAATTAGCAGCGGCCCCAAAATTCCAGTCAGATGGAAATCCTTTTGTGTATCGCTCAACCATGGTTTTAGATAAAAATTATAGAGAGCAATGAATATGACCAGAAATGCCAAAGCGAGCGCAACCACTCTTCCATTTGCTTTACGTTCTTCCTGTAAATATAAAAGAGAATAGTGTTGAAATAAAGCTTAATTGAATTTGAAAATCCGAAGTTTAAATTATTACGAAAGAATTATCGAACCTATTCTCTGTGAGTCTGAAATGAGTCCTAAGTATTCGGGCTCTGAAATGAGCTTATTATGAGTGTGAGCACTATGGAATAGTGCTCGTCAAAGAATCTTTTATGTCTCAATATTTGCTTTGTTACTTGATACATAAAAGTATTCTATGTTTAAGTAACAAATGACCGGAAAAAGTTTAAGTTTTGTGAATTAAAAAACATGTTTGGTTTTACACTACATACCTTTAGTCCGGGAGCTAGCGACAGTAAAAAATGTGCCGGTTTATCGTCAAAGACAACATATCGGGGACTTAATTTACTGCTGTAGATTATCAAACAACAACACATACATCGCACCGTGGGACCTTTGGTGTCAGGAGGGTGGGCGAAAAAAAATGTTTACTCAATATATATTTGACAGATTTCAATGGAAGTTGCTATTTAGGGGTTTTTCAAATATATATTAGATTGTTGGCAATTCAAAAAGGCGGATCAAATATTGTGGGCCACTTTTTTAAAATAATTATAGATTGTAATGAAACTTATACCTAAGAACTCTCGGAGCCACTGATTACGAATTTAAAATTTGATTTACAAAATTCATATAATTATATGGGAAATTCTCAGAAACTTCGAATTTTTTGTGAACAATTTTTTCTTTTAAGTCGCGAGCACGAGTCTGAAATATGCGTTCCTTGAGCTGCTAGGATACAAAATCCAATGGGGTTTAACGTTTTAAAGCAATGCACCATACGTTTTTAACGTTTTTACGTTTTTGAAGTGAAACTTCTTAGGCGGCGGTATCGCAAAAATGAAGAGTGAAATTTTTAAAACTGAAAACGACGGGTACGAGTACTAATACTAATGGGCATATGTATGTACTTATGGACAACAATGTTGTCATGTATGTACATATGTTTGAATGGTTGTATATATATTTGTACGTATGTACATATGTTTGTGTATGTACATCACAGTAGAAATCTTAAGCATACAACCTCGCTGTTGGTGGCATGAGCTTGCTGCTGTGTATACATGCCAGTATAATTGAACCTTCCCTACAAGACATTGCTGAGCACTTTAGGCAAAAATTCTCACACATTTACACTTTTGTTTTTGTAGTACGGCATAAATGAGTAGTTTGACTATTAGTACTGAGGACTTTCTGATGACAATATTGAGGGGAAAATACTCAATTTTTTCCCATGGCCTGAACGAAAATGAGGACTTTGATAAGCACTTTTGTGATTAGGGGTAATGATAATATGAGTACTCATATGATACTCAGCTGTCTTGTAGGGTTCATTTCCATTTAACACGCGTGGTTTCTCAGAGCGTATGCGTACCTTAATCATACACTTGTACTACTGCTGTATGCATATGGCTGTATTAATGTTTCAAACATACAAAAATGCATTAATGGAATAGTATTAAAGCATCCTTACAAGATCCCCATATGTAAATGCTACTTTTCTGATACATTTTAATATACGGGGACATACAAACAAGTAGCACTTACATATGCAAATGCATATCTTGTAAAAGCCCGTTTGTGCTGAAAATAGTATCG